GGGCTTCAATTTGATATAAAATTCTTGAAATTTGGTGTTGAACCGACGGAGATATTGAGATTCAAAGTTTTTCCAGAAACCAGCGAGTGCAGCAGTGGCCGACGACGGAATCCAACGAACCACTAGAGAAGACAGAGCATATTCCATCAACCTTGGTGGTGGCAAGGTAGATGGCTGGGATCTAGTGGGTATACTCAGACGGGCTATGGTGGAGCATGCCACTATCAGGGTGATATAGCTTTATATTCAGGAGGACAATATTAGTACTCACACGATCCGTATTAACAGAATGGTTACACTCAGTATTCAGGAGGTTACATACCATATCCACCATATCCAGCTGGTGGATCATAGTGGTATTCCTGGGGACAGACCCAGAACGTAGAGGTTGCTTCTAGCATTGCCAGATCATTGAGGCAACTTAACCAGCCTAGTCAAGAACGAGGTACATAAGGACGTGGAAACCAAGGTAATAGAGGTCGTGGAAGGCGACAGCAAACATAGGGCCGTGTTCATCATATTACTCTGCAAGATGCTCAGAACAATCCCGATCTGATTATGGGTACGTTAAATATTCTTGTCTATTTTGCTAGAGTATTGATTGATTGTGCTGCCACACATTCTATTATTTCTCATACGTTTGCTCAGACGACACAAACACACCCCGCACCTCTCGGTTATGAGTTAAAGTTTTCGATGCCTAGAGGTGAGACGTTTTATGTTAGTTGGGTATATCAAAGATGTCCTGTTTTGGTGGAGGACATCGTTATGCCGGCTAATCTAGTTCCATTGGATATAGTTGATTTTGATGTTATTCTGGGCATGGATTGGTTGCACTACAATCGTGCTCAGTTAGATTGTTATGAGAAAATGGTTACTTTCCATCGTCCAGGCTTGCATGTGGTTACATTCGTGGACGAGCGAGGTGGATTGAGACACGGCATTATCTCTGCCATGAGAGCTAGAAAGTTGTTGAGGAAAGGTTGTCAGGGGTATTTGGCTCACGTAGTATTGAATGAAGATACTCATGTTCGAGTAGTTAGGCATTTCCCTGATGTGTTTCCCAAGGATTTTCTTGGATTACCACCAGACAGAGAAGGCAAGTTCACCATTGATTTACTTCCAAGTATTGATCCTATTTTCCTAATTCCGTACCGAATGGCTCATGCTAAGTTAAAGAAATTGAAAGCCCAGTTGCAGGAATTGGTTGATAAAGGTTTTATTCAGCCTAGTACTTCACCTTGGGGAGCTCCAGTTTTATTTGTTCGGAAGAAAGACGAGACTTTAAGGCTGTGTATTGATTATCGACAGCTGAATCGAGTAACGATTAAAAAATGCTATCCGTTGCCATGTATAGATGATTTATTTGATCAGTTTCGAGGTGCTTGCGTGTTTTCCAAGATTGATTTGAGGTCTCGGTATTATCAATTAAAAATCAGAAGTGAAGATGTTCCTAAGACGATTTTTAGAACTCGGTACGGTCATTACGAGTTCCTCGTGATGCCATTCGGATTAACTAATGCACCTGCAGCTTTCATGGATCTGATGAATTGGGTATTCAAACCATACCTTGACAGGTTCATCATTGCTTTTATTGATGACATCTTGGTGTATTCCAAGTCTAAGGCAGAGCATGTTCAACATCTCACTTTGATTTTGAAGAAATTGAGAGAACATTAATTGTATGCTAAGTTTAGCAAATGCCAATTTTGGTTAGATTAAGTGGCATTTTTGGGGCATGTAATATCAAGCCAGGGTATTCAGGTGGACCCTCAGAAAGTAGTTGTCGTTGAAAATTGGGAGCAACCACAAACCGTCACTGAGGTAGAGAGTTTTCTGGGCTTGGCACGTTATTATAGACGGTTTGTTAAAGATTTCTCAGTTATAGCATTACCACTGACAAGGTTGATGAGGAAAGATGTTAAATTCGAGTGGGACGATAATTGTGAATAGAGTTTCCAGCAACTAAAGTATTGTTTCACTCACGCACCTGTTTTGGCACTTCCAGACGACGGTGGTAATTTTGAGATTTACAGTGACGCTTCCTTGAATTGTTTAGGGTGTGTGCTGATGCAGCATGAAAGGGTGATTGTTTATGCTTCGCGACAGTTGAAGCCTCATGATATGAATTATCCGATGCATGATCTTGAGTTAGCAGCCATTATCTTTGCCTTGAAGATTTGGAGGCATTACTTATATGGAGAAAAATGTAAGATTTTTACAGATCATAAGAGTCTTCAGTATCTTTTCACCTAGAGAGATCTTAACCTCTGACAACGGAGGTGGATAGAGTTGCTCAGCGAGTATAATTGCACGATTGAGTATCATCATGGTCATGCAAATGTAGTGGCATACGCGCTTAGTAGAAAATCCCGAGGTCGAGTTAATGCTTTATATGCTTGTCGTATTCCTCTTCTCGCAGAATTGAGATCCACTGGAGTGAAGTTAGGGGTGGAAGATCAGGAAGAAGCTTTACTTGCTAACTTTCAGGTCAGGCCGATTACTTAAAAATCCTGGCTATGCCACTGTTGTCAAGGATACTAAGCAAGAAAATAAACATTCTTAAAGCTAGAGTGTTACAGGAGATTGAAGAAAACTTCTTATGAGCTAAAAGTTGTCAATAAATTGTTTAAGAATGCAAATTCAAATTGGACATTTGACAGAATATATTAGTACTTATAAACACATAGTTTTACTATTTAAAACACCAATGTGTTTTGTAATAAGCAATACATGTCAAATTGTACAGTTAATTAAATAGAAACAATATCATTATAATCAGCTGTTGACCGCTAAGTTGACGTTGAAACTTGGCATAAATTTGCACCAAATGATATCTTGGATATATTAGTCCATATATTCAATGAATGAGGTCCATGAGAACCGTTTCTATGGCACATCGTGTCTGCCATGCCATCCTCTAGCTGCTATACATACAAGGGGAACAAAGTTCTTGAAATAAGGGGTGCGTGTACATATATACCTATATATACATATATATATATATATACCTATATATGAAGCCTTTAAGGGAAGGAATCCCAACTTTTCAAACATCTTCTTAACCGTTAGATTTGGTTTTAATAAAATCTTGTGATTGAGATTTTGCGGCCTATGATTTAATCTTAGCCACAAAATTTCATTAAAGTCAAATATAATGGTTAAGAGGGTGTCCTCATTTTTTTTGAAAAATAAAAATCTCTTCCCTTAGACCAACTCCAATAGTAGGCTAAAAGCCAAATTACCCCCAAAAATTTTCCCCCAAACCCACTCCAACTCAAGGGAAAATTTTGGGCTAAATGTTAAATGTTAAACCAATGCCAAATTCCCCCCAAAATTTAGCCCAGAAATCGGAGTGTACTCTACCCAATATTTATCGGAATTTAATTTTTTTTAGATTAAAATGCTCATAAAATTAATTTACGATAGTCTGCATATCTATTTTTTTTAAAAAAAAAATTTAATTTAACAAAAAAAAATAGCCTAAGTTCATTCTTTAATAATCCCGGGCTAAAATTTTAGGCTAGAACGGTTGGAGCAAAAAGGCTGTTTCTGGCCTAAAAGCTAAATTTTCCGGGCTAAAAAATTTAGCTTTTAGCCCAACCATTGGAGATGGTCTTAGATCAACTCCAATGATGGGCTAAAAGCTAAATTACCCCCCAAAATTTCCCTCCAAACCCACTCCAACCCAAGGGGAAAATTTGGACTAAATGCTAAATGCTAAACCAAGGTCAAATTCCCTCCAAAGTTTAGCCCATAAATCGGAGTGGACTTCACCCAATATTTATCAGAATTAAAATTTTTTTAGATTAAAATGTTCATAAAATTAATTTACGATAGTCTACATATTTAATTTTTTTTTAAATCTAATTTAACCAAAAAAATAGCCTAAGTTCATTCTTTAATAATCCCGGGCTAAAATTTTAGACTAGAACGGTTGGAGCAGAAAAACTGTTTCTGGGCTAAAATCTAAATTTTTTGAGCTAAAATATTTAGTTTTTAGCCCAACCATAAGAGATGGTCTTAAAGGACCTATATATATATATATATAGTATTGATATGTATGCATGTATGATTGATTCATATGTACTGTTGTCTACGCAACTACAGCTGTCTAAATCTATCAAAAGACATTATAATGATTAGTGGTCCTGTCCTTGTGTAATTGAGAGATATATGTCCAAAGTCAAAAGCATGTGTATGCATATAAAGGGACATGGATGCTCTCCGGATCCAATTGTATTAATTCTAGGGATCCATTAATATAGATCGTTGAAATTTAATTCAACGGTTAAAATTTTTATAACTTTAAAGTGAGCCTTGTTTGTAGCCGTTGAAGTATAATTTTTATTTTATGTTTTTCATAAATGAGCCATGCAAATAATTTTCTTACAATGTCAATAATAATTTTTTTTCTTTCCATATATTAGGTTGCCATTACTGCAAGTATGATATGCAAAGTATATACTGGTCTCAGTCGTTGGAATTGAAATAATACATATACATAACAAAATTAACTTTGTTAATTCCATTCATTTGAATCTCATTTTTGCCTTGCGGCTCTTTGCATTTATTTAAAAAACAAGAAAAATATTGTGAAATTAGAATACACCTTACCTACTTAAATACAATTGTCACATTGGGTGAGGAATTTTCCTCTTCATGATCTCTTGCACGCCAAAAAGAAAAAGAAAAAGAAAAAAAAAAAAAACCATGATATGGTTTGCATATCATGTTTTGGTGTATGAATACTCTTCTTTGTATGCTTGGCTTCCTCTGCCGCAACATGTTTAATTTCCTGTATCTTGACCTCTCTGACTTTTTGGGTGTTTTTGGAGCGTGATTAGAATATACGGTGGCTTTAAGTATACTGAGATATAAATTGGGCAGACGAAGGTGATGGAGATGTATGATTAATTTGTTTCTCTCACATGTTTATTTTGCGTTTGCATCTCTCTTTTTGCGAAAAAAGGAATTGGACTTTTTTGGGGGGAGGGGGGGGGATGGGGTTGGGTTTCTTCATGCATAAGATTTGTGGCTAGCCCGCGCGCTCTCTCTCTCTCTCTCGTGCATGAAATGTATATTTCTTGATTTGTTTGTCAAGTCGCAGCCACAAGGGTCAGGGTCTGAAAGTTGGGGACCCGGACTGTTTTGGGAGTATCATGGGGTTATATGATAGTTTTAGGAGATAATATGATGGGCAGGCCATTTTGGGGAAGAGCAAAAGGGCCATACTGTATGCCATTTTGTGCACCAACAATAGACCATCTGCATAAAGCCACATACATAACATGTCAGCCACCTCCACAACCAGATCAACAAATTTATTTAATTTACATAAATATAACAACATTCTGCTTTTAGAAATTGAGGAGGAGGTGGTGGTTGCAGCTCTGCAGTGCTGCCACTGCCCGTTGCATGCCTACCCTCTCCCCTCAAAACTACCAAATAAGTGAAAGTACCCACCTGTACTTTGTTGTTAGATGGTGCAAAAAGACCAAAATCTCCAGCTTGGCCAATTCATTCCCTGGACATGAGTGGTTCCCGCTGCCAAATGGCATGTATGTATTGGGTTTTGGAGCAACCTGTGTCAGACAGTAACATAAAGATGATGAGTATATATCCACTATACAATACATGCATCTATCTCCAATGTTATCCAATATTTTGAATGAAGAATGAATTTATGGCGGATGATGGTAGGGTTTACCTCAAATCTGGAAGGATCAAACTTGTCAGGGTCAGGAAAGATTTCTGGGCTGTGGTGAATATTTCTGAAAAGTGGTAAAACTTTCCACCCCTTTGGTATCAGATAACCTGAAAACACATCAATATTTGATCATCAGCAAACAACAGATTATTAAGTTTAAAGTAATTTCAAGTAAGAAAATAGAAGAAGAAAAGTAGTAAATGTTTGGTTTGGTAATTACTGACCTTCATATTCAACATCCTCCACAGCTTCCCTGAAAGTAAAAGATAAAATGGAAGCAACTCTAAGAGTCTCCTGAATAACCCTACAAGTCATGGGCATCTTTTTGGTATCTGCCCAACTCAGAACTTTATCCTCTTCCTCTTCTTTTGACCTTATTATTGCTTCTTGCTCATCCTGTAGAATCACAGCCATTACAAAAAATTAGAACCCAAAAAAGGAACTTCAAAAAAAAAAAAAAAATGAATTTGATGATTAGAATGCTTACAGTGACAGCTTGAAGCACACTTGGGTTTTCCCCAAGGTACTTGACAATCCAAGTCAGGACGCTGGCCGTGGTGTCACGGGCAGCAAAGATGACACCAATAACGTTGTCGGCGATTTGTTGGTCCGTGAGGCCTTCTTTGCCACCCATGAATGATCCGAGAAGATCCTTATGGTCCTCCTCCTCCACCTGCATCCTTTGCCTCCTTTTAGATATAATTTTGGCCAAGATCTGAGCAAGCTCCTTCCTTGCTTTCATTGACTTGTGAAACAGTGTGCCTGGAAGATTAATGGGCATTGAATTGTATCCCTTCTCAAGAATGTAGTAACACCTCTTCAGATCCTCTCTGTACAGAATCTCATCCTTTCCAAATATAGAAAGGAGTGCAACATTGAATGTGAACTGCACCACCAAAAATTGATTCATCGGTACACAATTTAACATTATGTCAACCAAAAATGTTATATCAGCACAACAATTCACTGCAGGAAAATGTTCTCTTGGCCGACTGTTAATCTTGTCAAACTAGTTGAGGCGGCTGTCAGTTTCGTCAGACAACCACCTCCATTTTTGCCATGTGTAGCAGTTTAGATTCAGCATTTGGCTAGAGAACATTCCCGAGCGCTGTATATTTACAGCTCTTCTAATTCGAATTCTCTCTGTTTTGCTCTGTTGAGAGAGTGGGGAGTGGCAATAATTACTCACCGTTTTCATTTCTTGGAAGGAGTTGATCAAGCGGCCTTGGCAAGACTTGAGAGAGTCTTTGGCAATGGATTCAATGTCAGGGATGATACTTCTGACGGCTTCCGGCATGAAGGCACGAAGGACAAGCTTTCTCAATTGGGCATGGTAATCTCCTTGGTGGAAAAAGATGGCTTCTTTCCCCAACATCCTCTCTTTGCTTGCCGGAAAAGTTGGCTTGAACAGATGGGCTCGAGAAAGCACGAATTTGGCCGCTTCCGGGCTCGAAATCATCACACATGGACAACCCAAGATGTGGGTTTTGAAGATTGACCCAAACCTATCAATCAAAATGTTCAAAACATATATCATCAGTACATAAAATCAACTAGCCAGTCACTCAATTTAGAAAGAAAAAAAAAACGGAGATGTGAATTAAAAGAGCAAATACCTCTTTTGTTTAGAGGCAAAGAAGACATTTGGGTTTTGAGAGTAGAGTTGGAAGGTTTCTCCAATGTAAGGCCAGCCCAAGGAACCCGGTGGAAGTGGGAATTTCCGGCGAACCGGAGTGAAGAGCTTGGTGATGAGGGAATTGATGACAAAGAGGAATAAGACAAGAAAGGCAAAGATGCAAAACATGTAGCTTAGGAGATTCAACTCCATTATATTTCTTGTTTTTCTTGGAATTGAATTGAATTAAATTGTAGTGAACCGACTGACTAGTAAATAGAAAACTATTAAGTAGCAGCAGCAGCAGAAGAAGAAGAGGACGAAAACAACTAGTTGTGTTGTGAAGAAAACAAGTGAAGTGGTGGGAATATTTATAGGGTATTGGGAGAGGAAGAGAGAAGGTGTGCGGCGTGCCCCTTTCATTTACAGCTCGAATCCCACACACGGAATATCTCCCTCCAGCTCATTCTTACGCTTTCACTTGTTTTACTATTTTTACTCTCTCTTCCTTCTTTCTTTATTTTTGGCTTTACGGAAGCCGAGGGGTTGGGGTTGGGGTTGCCAGAATGGTTTACAACTCTCCACTTAATTTTGCATTTTAACAATGCCTTTTGTGGGACCCTCCGACTCTGTTTTAATCTACTCTTTGATTTGCCTGTCAAATGCACACAACCTCCTCATGTTGTATCAAAACTGCATTCAAAATGAACCAGTCTGCTATCAATGCATAGTGAGACTCATGTACTTCTTATCTCGCTATGTAGTGGAATGCCTCTTATATTTACGGTAAGGGTTTTAGAGAGAGAGAGGGAAAGAGAGGAGAGAGAGCACGTGCAGAAGCAATGCATAAAGAACGTGTACCCTGCAAGTTTCCTCGTATAGGAGTTTGACCGTACGACAGGAGAAATTTTTAGATGTAACGGGAACACGGGTAGTACATCACGTGTTTTTATGTAAGTAGTGAGAAATTTTATTTTTTAAGTTATTAACTTTTAAACACATATATCCCATATTTTATATAACGACACGTGGTGTACCATTCCGTGTGACGGTCACATTGAAAAATCTCTCGTCCGACGAGGCATTGGTGAATCACGAAATAAGTGCAGGTTTTTTTTAACCGGAAGGAGAACACATTCACAGACGCGCGAAAAGCTTAAATGCAAAAACACCTCTTTGAGCAATACAAAAGGCAACCTTTATCTCATCCTCTATCATCCGTAGTAACTCTCCAACTATTTTAACACGTATTAATTAAATATTCATAGTTGTTGGAAGGCTTGTTATATTAACATTCTACATATTGTTGAATACACCTCATATACTTAATACATCTCACATTTGCCTTTTCAATTAAAATTCCTGTTACATTCCCATAATATCCTCACACCCCACACTCTCAACATGTGCCTTGCATCATACACCCTACATTTTTTACATACATACCACACTCTTCACATTATTAACAGTAATGTCAAAAGCCAATGCACAATTCACATCCACTAGATTTAAAAAAAAAAAAAACAAATCTTATTAATCATTTAACATGTAGATTCCAATACAATTACAATTTCCCTTCTTTCTTGGCTATGGCTTCCCTCAATATGCACGTAAATAAAATAACAAAAATAGTGACTCTCTAAGCCCTATAGACTAAAGATCAAAAATGAATTTAGCCTCCGTCTGCCCCTTTTCCCGAACATAGTAAAATCCTTGAATTTCTCTTCAGCATCGGCACGAAAATGATCATGTCAAATCATGTTCTAGTCACTTATATCACGATTATGCCTCAAGCACAATATGATCATTTGAAATCTTAGGTTGCAAATTCTTCACTTTTAGTCTTTTACTCAGATTCTTCAAAACAATAGGAAAGTTCCTTACATCATTTTCATCTCGCAGGGGCAAACTCCTACCACAAATTTTTGCAACAAATTATGTTCAATACCGTCTTAGAGAAGCTCTTCAAAATCACTAACGTTTCCCTCTAAATCAAACCAAACACTACTCATTCTTTGAGAGTTACAGTATTTCGAAATAACACTTAAGCTTATTTGATCGAACAACACCCTTTCAGTACCTGTTTGAGCTCTTTCTAGTTTTACTGATGTCTCTTTGTATTTTCATTAGTAGGTTTGTTCTACATCAGAGGGTGAGAATGGTTTTGAGAGTTGAAGAAGATAAATAATCTTCAGATATACACGTTAAAAGTGATTTGAGATGTATTTAGATTTTTTTTTAATTTTTTTAAAACTTTATGAGGTCGAAATTGGCATTGCATTAGGGTATATAAATTATTTAATATTAAATTTTAATATGGGGTGTATTCAACATTATGTGGGGTGCTAATAAAAAAAGTCTTGTTGGAAATATGAAGTTAAATTAGAAAGTCAAAACCATATCTAGACAATTTTATTTTTTTGGGTGAAAAACCTTAGTTGTACAAGGGAAAATTTGTTGATAATGAAAAAAAGAAATTACACCTAGTTACGAGGGACTAAAACCTTACCCTCATAATACAAGAAACAAAAAAGGAGAAAACTTATATGAAAATGAAGAGGTGACATAAAACTTACCCTCTAGAACTGAAAACAAAAAAGATACAAGGAAAAGAAGGGAGGGTGGGATATGAAACCTAACCCCTCTAAAGCCCAAGGGTTTAAACCTGTAAACAAGTCGAACAACACCACAAGGTAAGGAAAAAAAAAAAGTAAGACAAACATATATGTCGAGATGCACTTTTGAGAAACAAAAGCCAAACAAGCCAACATAGTCTGAAAACAAAGTAGCACGAGTTGTTGGGGGAGGAGAATCATGCCATAATAAATGTGGAGAACACAAGCCCATATTAGCAAAATGATCCCTAAAAACATTTCATTTGCGATATATGTGAGAGGTGTAGAAAGTTATCTTCTGAATCGATCCAAACAAATATAACATTGCGTACGAAGAGGCCAAGGAAAATCATAATTAGTCAATTGGAGAACGGAAATAACACTAGAAGAGTTACTTTCCAGCCAAAAACAATGCCAACCCTAATGAATAATTGCTAATAACTCTACAAAAAAATAAAAAAGGGTTGTGATGACCAATACATTGGTAGAAATCTCTAAGAAAATGACCATGGCAATCTTTGAAAACTCATCCGCATACAGCAACATTTGTATTAAGTTTAATCCAAGAAAACCAAGAGGAGACCAAAGCACATGAAGAATAGTAGGAACCTTGCTAGGGATAGGTCAGATTCCCATAGAATAAATGATACGAGTGTCAACACCCTGAGAGTAACCAGGATTAAACTTCAACAATTCAAACCATCTATTTTGTAAGCCTTGATTCATATATCATCCTTACAAAAATTCAATTCAATCCGAAATCATTTGCCTATTTAATTATCATGATGAAATTTCAATGATTCTTAGAGAACAAGGTGTTCGTCAATTTCTTTGAACTCAATTAGATGCTTCAAATATTTCCAATTTGGCTAATATTTTGTAAGGATGATCTATGAGGTATGTTGATGCACAAAATCGGCGAGGACTTTGGTACAACAGAAAGTGTCAAGTTTGTGACCTTCGCTAGGTCGCTTTGGTCATTAATGTGGATAAGTATGTAAATGAATAGAGACAGGGAAGCAAACAACACAAGATGTACGTGGTTCACCCAGATTGGCTACGTCCACGGAGTAGAGGAGTTCTCATTAGTTGTGAAGGGTTTACACAAATACATAGGTTCAGGCTCTCTTTTAGTGAGTTCTAGTGAATAGTTTAGTACAAATGACATTAGGGATTATTGTGGGAGAATGATCCCCTTTTATAGAAGAGAGTTTCTAGCTTTGTTCTGACATTGACACGTGTTGTGTTGTGATTGGCCTCTGATATCGACAAGTGTTGCGCTGTGATTGGCCTCTAATACCGACATGTGTCGTGTTGTGATTGGCCTCTTGGTTGGAGGAAAAGTCTTGTGGGTCCTTGACGGTATGTTGTTGACCGATGCTTAGTAGTTTTGGGATTGGTCAAATATGGTACAAACAAGGTACAACTTGAAAAATTGACGATTCAAATTGTTAAAGTTCGATGTGGTGTGGGCCTCACAACTAATCCCCATATATATATATATATATATATATATATATATATATATATATATATATATACACACATATATATATATATATAAGGATTCCTTCCCTTAAATGCTTTGTGACATCCCGTCCCGGGATTATTAAAACGCACGTGTGAAATTACCTTTTTGCCCCTAGTTCGTTTTTGTCACGTTGTGGGTGTTTTGTGTGGTGTGGCATGTGTTGGACCACACACACACACACTCACACACACAGTCACTCTTCCCCTCCCTCTGTCTCTCTCCCCCGTGTCTCTCTCTTCCTTCCCGTTATCATCATACGTACGGACAAGCACCAAAACCACCCAAACCATCACAGATCGAGGAAACCAAGGACACCATTCAACTCGTGAGGTCGAGGCGAGCTCAGACATACCATTTTCAGGTGAGAAATACTTCGTTTTCACGTCGATTCAACAATGGCCGATTTGAGTACTGTTCATGCAAAGTTTATCCATTGAGTTTTTGGGATTTCTGAGCTCGTAGGTGTCTTAGTGAGGTCCTAAGGAGCGTCGGAGTAGCTCGTTGGACGAAATTGGACGTCGGGAAGGCTTGGTTCGAAGTTGGCCGAGTTTTGAGTTTTGAGACAGGTATGATCGCGTAATTTTTAGCCTTTAAAAGTGGTCCAACGTGATTCTACTAGTCTAGGGCTTTCTTTTGGTCCAAGAATCATAGAAAATGGTTGAGAAACGAAGGAGAATAGTGAGTTTAAACTTTTCCCAGTTTTCCGGCGACCGGAGTCCGGCGAGAGTAGATCGGAGAAGAAAGGAGAATATTCCGTTAGGTTTAACGGAATATTCCTAACGGCAGTGACGGCGTCAGTTAGGTTTAACGGAATATTCCGTCAGTTTAACGGAATATTCCTAACGGCGTCTGTTGACACCGTCAGTGTGCAGGGCACGTGGCCGCGCGTGGGGGGCGCGTAGGTCCGTGCCTTGGCCGGCGCGTGGGGGCGCGTGCGGCGGAGGAAAATTATTTTAAAAATTTGGTTGTGATCCTGAGGTTGTGTAGAGCACGTTGGTATATTCATTTGTCCATTTTGAGCAATGTATGAGAAGTTATTACGAGAAATGGGTTATGTGCTTTAAAGTTAACGTTTTTATAGTTGTTTCGCATTTAGGTGACACGTACCCCGAGGACGAACGTGCACACGCGAGGTAGGGGGGCTACGACCCTTCTACATACCAGTGAGTGGGCTTTTGTTTTCCGTATATACC